GGGGACGAGTGGGACCAGTGGGACTGGTCGGACTGGTGGGACTAGTGGGACTAGTGGGACTGGTCAGACTGGTGGGACTGATCAGACTGGTGGGACCAGTGGGACTAGTGGGACTAGTGGGACCAGTGGGACTGGTCAGACTGGTGTGGTTTATAGGAATAGCTGGACCAGCTGGGACTGTTGGGCTGACTGTACTGGTGGGACCAGTTGTCACCTGGTCTTTGGCAGATGGAGGCAGTCTGGGTGTCGCAGTTGGAGGTCTGGACCTTGGGGTGGGCTCTGGTCTAAAGTCTTCAGTGTCAGCAGGACCAGTGGGAGGAGCCTGAGACCTGACTGTGGGAAAGACATCCACAAGGTTTTAGGAGGAACAGGAAACAGGAAACAGGAAACAGGAAGTTGAGAAAACTCACCTTTCTCTGCGTCCAGTCTGTCCTGGAGCAGCGAGGGCGTGGCCTCTGACCCCGCCTTCTTCATCTTCTGCTGCCTGGCCTTCATCTCAGCCAGAAGGTCCATCCTCATCACTGGAACTCCCATGTGACGGGGGAGGTGAGGGTGCTCCTTCTTCTCCTCCACATCTGACCCTGTGTGGGAGGAGGTCTGATCCCTGTGGAACTCCCCATGGTCCTCTTCTGGAACAGAGGCTGTGGTTCTCATTGGTGGAGCTGGGGTTGTGGGCGTGGCCTCCCCAGGTTCCGTGTGAACAGATGGAGTTGGAGCAGAGGAGGCAGCAGCAGCAGGAGGAGGAGGAGGAGGAGGAGGAGCGATGGCAGCGGCTCCGTGACTCCTCTCGGAGCGGGACATCCTGGACTTGATCTGATTGAAGAACCCACTTTTTCTGGATTCCGGTTTCTTCTCCACTGCCCCCTGGCTGTGGAAGGGTGAAGCTCTGACAGACGGAAGCCTGCAGAAGAAAAACAAAAACCTTTGACATGTTCTCAGTTCCCTGGTCTTTGTTGATCCTGGTCATGACCTTGAGGCCCAAACAACAAGTTAAGGTCTGACTGAGACCACGTCTGACTGAACCTACTTGAAGCCGAGCCCGATGACCTTCATGGAGAAGAAGTCGTCCAAGCCTTCGTCCAGTTTTGCGACGCTGATGTTCTGTCCATCAGTTCCACGCTGGAGGAGCAGGAGTAGAAGAGGAGAAACCAGAGATGAGAGCCGTGACCCACACTTACTGCTGAGCCCACAGTCGGAGAGCGACACCTACAGGAGGCCGGCTGGGTTTGCTCCTCTTCTTGGGTTTGGGTCTCAGTTTGGTCCGATGCTCCAGAGTCTCGTGCTCCACAGGCGGGAACTCGCTGACCAGGATGGACTTGGTGTCAGGTACGGAGGAGGTCGTAGGAGGAGGTGGGTCTTCGTAGAAGGATGATGCTCTGTCAGGCAGGAGAGAAGGGGGAGGAGGGGGGAGAGGAGGATCCTCCACATGGATGGGAACCTCCTCCAGAGCTTTGTCCAAGTCAAACTCCATCTCTGTGGTGGACAGAGAAGAAGATGAAGAAGATGAAGAACATGAGGAAGATGAAGAAGATGAAGAAGATGAAGAACATGAAGAAGATGAAGAACATGAAGATGAAGAACATGAAGAAGATGAAGAACATGAAGATGAAGAACATGAAGAAGATGAAGAACATGAAGATGAAGAACATGAAGAAGATGAAGAACATGAAGAAGATGAAGAATATGAAGAAGATGAAGAAGGTGAAGAAGATGAAGAAGATGAAGATCATGAAGAAGATAAAGAAGATGAAGAACATGAAGAACATGAAGAAGATGAAGGTGATCCAGAACACCAACAGATCTTCGTCCCTCACCAAAGGCCACGGAGACAGGGCGGAGCATCCTCACCAGGATACTCTTCCTCTTGGATTTAGGAGTCATCTGAAGACCACACAGAAGGTTTAGATCTTTGCCCCCCCACAGTTTGACGACCCTACATAGATCAGACCTCCTGGACCTACCATGCAGGACTCCGTGTCCTCCAGTCCATGCTTCAGTCCAGGTTTCCTCTTCATGTCCTGGTTCTCACGCTGCAGAACCACCTCATCCAGGACCTCGGTTTCCATGGTCACTCCATGATGGACCAGAGGCTGGTCCTTCCTGACCAGGTGCTCAGCCTGGAAGACAGAGGTGAGGTGAGGTGAGAAGACGACAGGACCAAAAAACCGGGGGACTGGACAGAGACTGACCAACGTATGCTGGGACCTGGACAAGGACTCCAGGATCTCATCCACGATTCGATCGGAGATACAGGAGGCCACGCTGAGCTTCACCTCGCTGGGACATGAAGATACGAGAAACACGATGTGGTGAAGAACCATGGGCTAGAACCAAAACCTGGTCAGATAATCCAGACCGCCACGTCTTAGACCTTCAGGACCAACCCACCTGATCTTGTTGATGATGTCGACTCCAGACTGCTCCAGGAGCGTGGTGCTGACGAAGCTCTGAGGGACGCTCATCCTCCCTGCTCCAGCCTGGAGGAGCTCCTGACGGAGGCTACTCCTCTTCATCAAGTGAGGACAAAGACCTTCAGCAGCGTCCACCATTGACACCAGCATGGTCTGTGGAGGACAGAGACCAGGAGTGAGTAGAGGACCAGGCAGCAGACCAGGTGCTGGTCCTTCAGCTCTTCAGCACCTGCAGCTGCTCCCCCATCACCCTGGACACTTCTCCAGCCATGGACTCCAGCTGCTCCTGGATGGCGCCGACACACGGCCCCGGCACGCCGCCGCTCCTCAGGTGGTACAGGCTGTGGAGAAGCTGTGGAGAGCAGGGAGGTGAGGAGGTTCAGGATCAGAGTCTCCAGATGATCCCGTCTGGACTTCTCCCTGTCTTCTCACCCTCTTGGAGTTCCTGGCGTCCTTCATGAGATGTTCTGCCATCCTGATGTCCTCCTGGACCACACTGTTCTCTGTGAACCTCAGGGAGTTCAGGTGGTCCTGGACCTTCACACATATGGCGTCCATCATCTGCTGCGTGGTGGTGGTGACGATGCCCTGCTGGAGCCTGTACGCCTGCTCCTGGAGGTACTTACGGGTCTCGTGGTTCCTCAGGAGAAACTGCTCCATCTGTAGAAGAAGACAGCTCAGACCTGGAGGAGACAGA